TATTTAAATCAGCTTTGTGCTCAGATATGCGAGGAGAAGCCAGCCTGAGGTCTCACCGTGATCATCCGGATCCGCATGGAACAGCTGCCGAAACACCTCAGTATTCGTGTTCGCCCGCGAAGTCCACGCCTCCCAGAGCTCGTCGCTCAGCGGGTCCTCGACAAACTTCCAGCTCTCGTCCTGATCCCGCACGTCATTGGGCGAGTCATCGCCGGGCGGCTGGGCGTTGGGGTCATTGCTGGCGTCATGATTCTGCGGCGGCAGCAGGCCCAGGTGTTCGCGCCAGAGATAGCGCCTCAGCGTGGCAGCGTGCCAGCCGGCCTCGAACGGCTTCCCGTCCATGGTCGACTCGAAGCGGCGCGTGTCCTCCATGACGATGCTCAGCTCGCTGTCGCGGTATCCCAGCTGGCTGCGGTCGTTCAGGTTGCTGGACCCGCACACGACGACCCGGTCGTCCACAATGAGCAGCTTGGCGTGGATGTAGAGCTCCTCCTGGATCCATTGCTTCACCTCGTCCTCTGGCTCGCCGTCCCAGGCCGCGTCCGAGACGGGGCCCTGGTCCGCCATGGCGTGGTGGGCGACGGTGGCGGCTCGGTCGCTCTCAGATCTGTCCCCATCCACGGCGTCCTCAAACGTCCGCTTGATGTCGGGCCCCTTTGCACCGTTGTCGGGCTGGGGTCTTGCGTCCAGCTTCTCCTTGAATTCGCCCTTGATCTTCTCGCGCACCCCGCCCTGCTTGTGCTTCTTGCCCAGGTGCACATGGCCGCGGCCACCCAGATCGTCGTCCGACTCGCTGGCGGTCCCGTGGATACCCTCGTCCATGATCTCCTCGGCGTGTGCGCGCTGGACGTCGCGGTAATTGACCCCCGACTCTTCCTCCTTCTTCTGGACGGCCGGCGTCTTGTTCAGACGGTCGTAGCTGCGCAGGTTGAAGAAGAAGAAGTATTTGGTCGGATCGACGCCCTCCTTGCGGATCTGCTCAAAGATGCTGTGCTCGCCGCGGCAGATGGATTTGTACTGGTAGTCCATGATCGCTCGGGTGCCGATTGCACCGTCCTCTCGCAGGTCTCCCGCGAAGCCGGGTACCGCGGGGATCAGAACGATGATGCGGAATTTGCGTTGCTCCTTGGCGGCCCTCAGGACAGCATCCACCATGGCTCTCCCAATGGTGTTCCGGATGGGCGGCTGATGGTCCCCCGTGGCGGTAATGAAGAACTGGTTCTCAATGTAGACGTAATGCCGAGCGCTGCGAATGATGTCGCTGTAGGCGTTTTGGATCGAGTGCTCAGTGAGGATGCCGCTGGACCAATCGCCACTGGAACGGACAACCTGGGCATGGACGGTGCCACGGTCGTTCAGGTGCTTAGTGTTGAGGGGAGAGAGCGGGTGGCGGACATAACCGCCAACGGGGTGGCGGGGTCGCTGGACGCCGATGAGGTCCTCGTCCTGCCCCTGACGGTCCTCCAGCTCGAGCCACTCGTACCGCTCATCCCGCTTGTACTTGTCTCGCTTGACAAAGTTCCACCTCAGCACGAAATGTTCGGCAATGTCGTAGACGCAAGGCCCGATCACGCCCATGTGGACATCGTGCCATGGCATGCGGCCCGAGTCTTCCTTGTTCAGCTCGTTCTGCTTCCAGTCCTGGACGTCGTGGAAATCCATGACCCGGCTGTTATTGAAATCCTGGCCGGGCCACACCTCGTTGGCAACGCCCTCGGGGTGCATGTCGGACAGGGCATGCTGATGGTTGTCCCAGCGGCCGAAGCAGAGATCTAGGCCGCCGATAAAGGCCATCTTGTAGTCAATGACGACGAGCTTCTCATGGTGAGCCCTGCCGGACAAGGTCAGTGAGGCTTTGCTGAGCCATGCCGCGGAGAGCGAGATGGGATGATTTTACCAGTAGAAGGTCATATCTGCAGCGTTCTCCAAGACATTGTGGTCTGGGTGACGCATCACTCTGATGTTGCCGTGGCCCGGAGACCCCTCCGGGCAGAGGGCCTGGAGTGCGTGTTTTGTATGCGTCGAGTTGCAGGTCAGGGCGGCTTCGACCTCGCGGTATACGATAACGTAGATCTTGACGCCCGCCTCCGCTCGCCGCTTGAGGACCTGGTCGAGCCGCCATTCCTGGTTGAAGGATGGTGGGCGGCGGAGGAACAGCTCGGGCGTCAGCCACCAATCAGCAATGTATATAGTCTCCTTTGCGTTCTCGAGTGCGACTGATACCGCCTGACCCCTATGTCAGCGGGTGCAGCGGCGAATAGTAAGAGCCCATGTTGATGCTTACCCAGCAGTAGTCTCTGCCGTCGACATACCACTTCACCATATTACCCTCTCGCTCCGGGAAGTAGGACTGAAATCGATGCGACTCGGCCATTCTGGAGCGCTTCTCATCGCAGGCCTTCTCATGATCCTCATCATGGCGATGGTGGGGATTGAACTGCTCAGATATCAGTGACGCTGGCACCCACTGGGACATGCCTGGCTTGAGCCCACCAAGTTTGCAAACTTGCCAATCTTGTGTCTGACACATGAGGTGGTTAGTTCTGGTCGGCCACAAAGCTGCCGTGAAAAAGAACGTACTTTTGGTGGATGAGGTGCACTTTGGCGTCGTGCAGTGTGTGGCTCTGGTGGAACTTCTCCCTCAGCCCGTGGAAAGGGAGTTTGAGCTTCTCGCCAGCGTCATGGTGGTCCTTGCCGGTCGATTGTTGGTCTTGGGGTATGCCCGTCATTGTCGGCAAACCCAATTATCCCTAATAAGCTGCGAGGTGAGTCTTGGCAATGGAGTGCAGCGATGAGGATCCAGGGAGGCGCTGTGTAAGAAGGTGGATTGGATGTTCTGCCACTGGTGGAGAATGCTGGATATGAGTTCCTAGTCTCGCATTGAACATGAAGATAAAACAGAGGTGTATATATATAAAGGTAGATTGATAGACGAGACATCAAGTGCAGCATCTGTGGTCGTAAACGAAAACGGCCGTGAAGCTGCCATGGAGAACCGCCGCAAACCAGGCTGACGTCATGATGCTCATTCCTAAATTCAGCACTGGGCACGGAACAGATTCCGGACCACCCTGGACGTGAGCCATGTTTCCGGAACTCGAGAGGAGGCAATGTTTGAAGACCCTGAATATTTTCCCAACACCGTTTGGTTGGTTGACGCTGTTCATTGGGTTATACTTCAAGTCTTGATAATGAATGCCTTTGGAGCAAGCTCGGGCAAGTCGTTGTCTCGAATTTCGAGTGGTCATTTTCCTGTTCATTTTCCATGCGAGAAGCTTGGGCCGCCAAGTCCTGCCCCACTATCTCCCGAGACTCCACACTTCCCCCCGCCTGCCTCCCATTCCCGTCTCGACATCCAATTCTTCACTAGAGACAGAGCACAGCCTGGAGCCTCATGGATGCGAGATTCAGTTGCCAATTGCAGATAGTATTTGGAAAATGGAACTATATTATTACAAAAATGTACCTCATCTCGTTTATTACCGCAATGCCAATTTTGAAGTCCTCATGTAGCATGGATACTGTGGTACCTGATTGTTTCGCGAAGGTAACATGCTGCGGGGCGGCATGCGGCGGGGTAGCGGTTAACTAGCGGGCGGCTGTCTCCGGCGGACTGACCGCCTCCTATCCGTACTCTGGTAGGTATTTCAACCTCCAAGCCGCCCAAGCCCGCTCGTCTCGACAACACAAGCTCGAACATCTTGCCCGCCAAACAACATGGCTACCGCGCAGATTCCGGATGGAGGCACCTATCTGGATACCTTCAAGGGCACCTTCATTAATGTCCCACTCGATGCCGACAATGGCAACGCCATCTCGACGGCCGAGTTCCTCGATGCCGCCGAGTCCTTGACCACCATGTTCGGTACGGATGGACTGTGTTATGCACAACACCCGATGGGAGATGCGCTCTGCTAACTTCTATCGATACACCAAAGATCTCCTCGGTTCCGTCGCCTTTTCCCCGGTCAAGAAGGACATGCTGGGCAATATTGAGGTCCGCCCCCGCTGCCTGCCGCCTATACCTCGAGAACCAACTCGCTGATGCTCGTTCCGCGTACAGAAAATCCGGAAAAGGCTGCTGGCAGCCCCCCTCGAGTCGCAAAACCTTCAAGACCTCGTGCGGAACGAGCTCAAGACCAAGTCCCACACAGCGACCGAGGGTCTGTTATGGCTCGTCAGGTAGGACACCGCTCATCCCCGCTCCAAAAGGGGATCATGTTTTGCTGACAACATGTCCGACTCTGCAGGGGCCTCGAGTTTACATGCCTTGCCCTAAGCCAAAACCTGGCCAACCACCAACACGAGCTCTCCGACTCCTTCCGCAGCGCATACGGCGTCACCCTCAAGCCCCACCACAGCTTCATGATCAAGCCAATCTTCAGTGCCGCCATGAGCGCCTGCCCCTACCGCAAGGACTTCTACTCCAAGCTCGGCTCGGATGAGGCGCAGGTCAAGGAGGAGATGCGCGAGTACCTGGCTGCTTTAGACAAGATTGTCGCCATCCTCAAGGCTTTCCTTGACAGCAAGGAGGCCAAGTGGTAGGCGAGATTCCCCGAAGAACATAACTATAACAAGAAGAGCGATTGGTAGCGCGTAAATGGCATTGCCCGGTAGTACGGAGTAGAGCCTGTCCCTCACGCCAGCAATCACAAATATAACACTTGACACTCCGTCTTTCGTCTTTCAATCAAACAGACCACCCCAAAGCTGGCATGATCACTGCTGGGCATATCTGACTCTGATCTCCTGCAAATCCCCTAAACCCTCCGAGCCATCTCGCGACCGACAGAGCGACAAGCACGAAAGTAAAACATTTACTCTAACACACAGTCAGGTATTCTCCAAGACGCCCATAGTACCTTGATGACTTCTCTAAAGGTACCCTACGTTACAGATTTCACTTTTGCCTTGCGCTTATGTTTAACAATTTAGCTAAGAAGCAAAATCTTTAGAGGTAATAAAGTATATTTATTTTGAAACAGTTATTATTCACTGAAGCCGGCGTGGCGCAATTGGTTAGCGCGTCAGACTTTTACATCTAAAGTGAATCTGAATGTTGCGAGTTCGAGTCTCGCCGTTGGCGGTTTATTATATATAACCTTTTCTTTTTCACTCTTTCAGAGTCCTTTGGGATTTTCCTCTTTTCCTTGCACAAGGAACGTTACTGGGCTTTCGACATGGGTTCTATCATTTGACTCCCGTCTACTGACACACTCTCATCTAGCCGCGAAATGGAAGCGCCAAAGATTAACTAGATTCGACCGGTCCATCAGGCTCGTAGTGCTGAAGCGTCGGCTGACTCTCCTGCTGCGACGGCCGGGTAGGGGCTCAGCTGACGAGAAATACTGTCCTTTGCGAGAGGCCAATTATTAGCGTGGATCAGGAAACTGAAACTGATGTTGCGTTCGAGCCTTCGAGGTCCAGAGAGCTGCAAGGGAGTCACTTCGATACATCCATTACGGAGTAGAGGTGCCACTTGACGTCCTTGGTTTCTCTCTCCATTATGTGGCATGATAACACCCTGGGTGTAACGAGTGGCCAACACTACATATTTACGATCACGTGTATAAAGAAGACCTTAACAGGGCGCGTCGGTCATCAGTAACCATCGTCAATTTTACCAAAGACCTCCGTCTCTAATAAGGCGGTGTGTCTAGCAGCAATATCATGTATGTACAGATGCACCCCAAAAACGCCGCCCAAGACCCAATCGCCATCAGCCAGCACAAGGCTTTCCAGCAGTAGCATATTCCTAGTACAATTCAAAATAGTAATGAAAGCAACTTACGCTGTGCAATATCGTATATCTGCATTGGAACACCGTATTATGAGCAACCTACAACTGATGCAATATGAAGAATCCCAGAAGCGGGCAAAGGGGAACCCCCACTTTGTCTCCCTTAATCCCTAGGTTGATCCGCATGACTTCTAGTCACCCCAAAACTCCTCATGATCCGTCCCCCTCAACATCATCCGACGCAACATGTCCTCCGGCAGAATGGCACTAACATGAATGATAGGCTGGCCCGTACCCTCCTCAAAGCGGCACCCGATCCGGAGCTCGCGCATGACCACCCTCCGCAGCTCCACCTTGTCCGCATCGATCCCTTCCTTATCCGCGAGGGCGATCTCCGTGATGGTATCCCACGGCGTCTTCCTGCCGCACTTGTCGAGCATGATCTTGGCCGTCTGCAGCAGTACGACGGCGTTGTCCGTCAGCCGTGGCAGGTCCCAAACGCGGCGGATCAGGGCCACGACCGGCGGGTTGGGGCAGCCCTCGCCACCGACGGGGCATGCGCCCTTGTCGAGGAGGAGCTTGAGGATGGCCGGGTTCGGGTTATGCGCGGCGCGGTGGACGTAGCTGAACTTCGTCTTGGGCGGTATCTCCGGGAGGGCGAAGCGCTCGAGCATGTCGCGGACAATCTCGACGCGGTCCTCGCGGATGGCGAGGTCAAAGGCGGTGAGGTGGCGGCGCTTGACAAAGCGCCACTCGTCGTCGTCTTCGTCGTAGAGCTTTCGGAGGAGATCGTCTGGCGGCACGAAAAAGGGGTCGGCGACCTCTTTCATGAGTGCCATGGCAGTGGCCGAGTCGTTTTCCATCACGGCGATCGACAGGGGCGTGCGCAGCTCGTGGTCAAAGACATTGACGTCGGCTCCGCGCTCCAAGAGAGCGTTGACCACGCCGATGTCGCGCCACTGGCATGCGAGATGCAGGTAGGTCTGGCCGCCGTGAAATCTGGGCTCGCTGACAGAAACGCCACGGAGCATGACGGCCAGGCTCAGTTCCCGGTTCCGCTGCATGATGGTCTTGAAGAGCAGCACCTCGTTGGTGTAGACCTGCCGTCCAAAGTCCAGCATGCAGGCGAATGTCTCGATCTGATTCCACGGGTCCGTCTGCTCGATGATGCGGCACAGGCAGTTTTTCACGTCTGGATCCGTGACCTGGTACATCCGCTTGGTAAAGTCGAGGAGAAGCTTCAACGCCTTGTGGTTCCCGGTCGAAGCACACGTCTTCAAGGCCTCCTTGAGCTTCGCCTCCGTGATGTTTGACCTGTCCGCTACGCTCAGCATTGCCTCGAGCACCTCGTCGTCTGTCCATTTGAGGTGCTTTACTGCCGTTTCGAGGGGGCTGCAGTTGGGCTCCTCTTCGATGTCCATGCGGGCGCCGTGTCTCAGCATTATGGACGCGATCTCGGGCACCTCCCCTCGATGGTCAACCCGCACCGTCACGGCATAACACAGTGGGGTCCGCGCGTTGCGGTCCTGCGCGTTGATCTCAGCGCCGCATTGGACTAGCACGGCGACAGCTCGTGGCTCGGCCAGCTCGCAGGCGAGCATGAGCGGCGTCAGCGCTCGATGGCCGCGCTTGTCGAAGCGCGCGTTCACGTCGGCGCCGGCGTCGACCAGGGCCTTGATCAGCGTCACTCGATTGCCCTCGAACTCGTCGTGCTTGACGGGGGCCTCGTCCATGTCAAAGAACTCGGAGCGCGGTAGCATGCAGTAGTACAGCGGCCGGTAGTCTCGGAAGTTGGGGATGTGCCGGTGCGGGTCTGGGTTGGCACCGATGCTGACCAGCCGGTGCGCTACCGCATAATTGCCTCGGAAGCAAGCGTTGAGCAGAGGAGTATGGCCCACATCGTTATGGGCCTCAATGTCAGCACCGAGAGCAAGGAGCTTTGTGACGGTGTCTCGGATGTCGGCAGAGTCGCGTGGACTCCATATATCCGACACATAGTGTAGGGCCGTGTTGTCCCAGGCATCGCACTGATTGACGTCGAGGCTGATATTGCTCAGCGCCAGCAGCTTGATGACGGGCACCAAGCCGTGAGCGGCGGCGGAGTGTAGCGCTGTGTGATTGTGCCCGGGGGATGTGTCGAGATCGAGCGAGGCCCCGCGGAAGATGAGCAACTCGGCGACAGCCCGTTCCTGGTTGCACATGGCAGTGTGTAGAGGGCGCCACCGAGGCCATTCGGGAAGACGGCGTGAAGGGTGCCTCGCAGATTTGAGGGTCTGGCAGTCGCAAACGCGAAACGACGGTGCATCGATGTCGGCCCCGTTGTCGAGGAGCCATTCGACTACTTCGCGATGACCGCTCTTGGCGGCGAGGTGCAGCGCAGTACACTGTGGTTGGAGCGGATCGGGTTCTTCGAACAGGTCGGCTGCCGCTGCGGCATCGCCGTCGGTGTCGGTGTCGGGGGTCTCAATGGGAGCAGCGTCGTCTCTGTCGCCGGCCTTCCGTGGCAGCGGTCCCCGAATGTTCAGATCGGCGCCGGCGGCCAGTGCGTGCTTGAGGGTGCCCAACTGGCCGTGCTCGGCGCCCCAGAAGAGGGACGATGAGTTGGCCAGCCTGACATTGTCGCGGTAGAGGACCGGATTGACGAGTGAGTGAAAGCGGCGGTTTGCTCGTCCGAGGGCTACGCGATCTTCAATGCTGAGCAGTTCGTGAATGAGCAATATGATCTCGGCGGGCAGTCGAAGTATCGGCACTGAGCGGGTATTCTTTCCGGTGCCCTTGGATGCCTTGCCGTCGGGCGCTTTTGTTTTCCCCTTGGCAGCCGTCTTCTTGGGAGTGACTGGTTTTCGTTGCGGAGCCATCCGGATTGGCACGGGCTGGATGGATGGCGATGCGGGTGGTGGCAGGAAGGAAGAAGTCGCTGTCATCAGACCGGGCCGGCATTTACAGCATCGAGTCCTGGGAGTGAAGTGGGGCGCTCGCGGGGGCGTTTGTGGGGCTGGGCTGTGGAGACTTGAGAGTCGATGACACCCGACTCAGCCTCGCCGATTTGGAGACCTCCCAAACCGACGATCGGGCAGAGGCGGCCAGGTTTCGCACCGCAAAGCGAGCTGTTTGAGATACCAATCAAACACGGCAATCATGGTCATTGTTTGACCATTTGCCGCCTGCATTCAACGTGCCTCGTCGGCGCCCCCACCGCAAGCTTCGCAAGATAATAAGGCCTAGTCCGAGACCAACCTCGCGCGCCTATTTGCTAAGTCGCAACAAACTTCTAACGTTCATCTCAGTTTCCAGACCTCCCGTCCTTGTTCAAGGCCTTCTTTTCTTATCTCAGTGTTCAAGGTACGGTACCTGGGTGCCTCAGGGGGTGCTCGCCTTCAGCGTCAAAAACGCTTTAGCCAGCCCCACCGTCAAAAAACGTTGTCTCCACCTATGCTCAATGCATGCAATGAGAGCTTGCCAAAAACATTTGACATATAGCCCGTCGAGCCCGCCTCGATGCACCTAAGTAGAGACCATTAAAAACATTCGGCGTACAGGCCCGCCTCTCGAGCCGTACCTCCCAAGGCTGCCCTCTAGCACTGCATTGAAGGGGACTTCGCTGCCCTCGTAGGCTTGGTTCGCTCTAGTAAAGTCCTAGTTTTCGAGGAAAACTAGGGTTAGGGCTCAGAGTGTCACGGCGACTGCGCCGTGCCTGCCGGGACCACGGGTGGGGCCCGACATCTGGGAAGCACGGGCCCCTGTGGGTTGAAGATCCTGCACCTCGCCGCCGCGAGACCTGTTTGTAGCTCTTCGAGCTACGTCTTGACAACAGAGCCTGCCCGTACACGACGGAATAGAGCCCAGACTGTAGCTTAGCCCGAATATTACTGTCATTGGACTACCTGCCTGCCCCGCCCGTGACACAGAGGCCCTAGGTAACTAGGTGTAGCGGTCCCAGCTGTAACGGTCCCAGGAGTATATTGCAACTAGCTGGTGACGACTCTACGAGTACACTGAACTTGGAGAAGAAAAGGAATGACATGTGACGGGCACCACACAGACGGTCTGGTCAGCCTGCACATACAATTGATATTGCACGAAGAGAGCAAGAACTACCATGACAGGATTGGCATGCGGCTGGGCCCTGTGTCACGGGCGGGTGTCACGGCACGGCATTGGCACCTGCGGGCAAGAACGACCGCGTAGGTGTTGCAGTGGTGCGGCAGGACAGCTTCATAGTGCAGCCAGTGGTTCGATCTGTCGGATTGAATCATTTGTACCCTTTTTCTGGGAACATGGCTCAGTGGTATGGCTGCACGCTGAGTGCCGTGACAGCGGGACAGGCGGATAGTCCAATGACAAGT